CAGGGGGGTTGGACTAGATGATCTCTAGAGGTCACTTCCAACCCCTTCCACTCTGTGACTCTGTAATTGTCAAAGGCTTGGGTTTTTAACCTTCAAGTTAGTGCAGTCATTACTGAACCGTGGAGGGTCAGGGAAACAACACGAGTCCAGAATATTTACTGGCAGCTTGATAAATGCTCCTTGAAAGTCAGTCTGTGCCTAGAGGTTAGGGACTGCTATGAGGCTGGGACTGTACTGATGAAACCCTTCCGTGTAATATTTATGGGGTTTACAGTCTCCTGCATTTCAGCTTGACTTGTGCTGGAAGATGGTTCTTCAGACTAACAAAACTGCATAGGCGAGCAGAGGCTTTAGGTTGCAGAAAACAGGCAACTTTAGCTTCATGAGATCAGTGAGCAGGGAGTGAAAACGTGAGAGGTGTTAGTCATGATGTCAAGTTTAGTCTTTTCTTCTACAAAGTCTATTCCTTGATATCGGCAAATGAAGCCTATTTTAACGAAATGGCTATATTGCCAAAGCCATTTGTTCTCAGCTTTTGTTTTCCTGTGACCTTCATTAATTTTGTGTAGCCTCTCTGAATCTGAAAGGATGAGAGGTACGTGGCACTGTGTCTTTGGTAAATGCCAGGGGCGAGGGGCAGAGGGCCTTAGATACAATCTGGCAAGCACAGAAACTGTGCTAAACTGTTTCAAATGCTACTGGTTACCTGTCTTTGTGCAATAAAGCACATGGAAACCAGAAGCGTGAGATTCGATGATAAGATAAAGATCCACTTGGAATCTGCTTGCTGATCAGTAATTAATTTTTGCGTTCTTCTGCATGCTGTTCAGGATTATAAATCATGTCTTTACAAATGACTTGCAGCGTAGTGACCTTCAGTACTGCCTTTTGTCAACTTTACTCCTTTGGAGTAACTGCTTGCCATGTACAGATTGTGCTTCCTCTTCAGGGAGAATCTCATCAGTATTGCTGAGCTAATTAATGCGATGAGACAAATTCAGAAGATTCCAGAGGACAAGCTAATTAGGATTGCAGAGGCACTGGATGAAAACAAGGATGGCAAAATTGATATAGATAATGTCGTCAAGGTAAGACTGTGCACAACTTAAGGAAAATAAAGCTAGACGTCATTCAAACACTGTACCTGTTTTGACTTAAATTCGTATTACTGTCTTTTGCAAAAGTCTTTACTTCATGCCAGTGAGGATTTTGTTAATGTACTCTAAATAGATCTTAAAATAGATATTAGGATCTTCAGAATTTATATAGCTGTGGAGGGGCAAGTAACCTTTATCCCGTGTCTGTTACCTTACCTTTAAAGCTGTAGGTTTTCATGTATGCCTATGTCAAGTGCTGTAAACCATGCTAATTTTGTTGTTCTACTTATGAATGGGATGGAGGATGGGAAGGAGCTTTAGAACTACATTAGGAATACTACTGCTAGCCAAAGTCTTGAAATGATGCATATAGATACACTTTGTCAGCACAAGGTAATAGCTTCTCTTCCCTACTTGCATACTGTCAATATTTCATTGAGACAGGTGTATCATGTGCTTGATCAGAGCATCAGTTGTCGTTCAGGTCCATGGCAAATGACCTGTGTTCTTTGCCTGATTTATCCTGTTTTCGCACTTTGCAGAACATTCTTTGAGCAACCTGATCTAGTGGAAGGTGTCCTAGCCCATGGCAGGGGGGTTGGAACTAGATAATCTTTAAGGTCCCTTCCAACCCAAACCATTCTATAATTCTATGATGATTCCATGCAAGTCATTTTCCTACTCAATACAGAAATAGCACTTAAACTGTAGCCAACTAGAAAATACAGTATCAGCCTTTTGAAACACATTTTTCCCCTCTAGTGAAGTTGTCCCAGTGGTGATTATCTTCCCTGTTGCTCTAAACAGCTGTTGTACGTTTAGCAACCCAGGTAAAATGTACTTCTGAATTCTGCATGTAATGCAGAATAAATCTAGGAACTTGAGGAGCTGTGCCAAGAACACATTTGTACAAAAACCTATATAAAGGAATTTTGAATTGCCTGCTAAATTGGCTTCTCGTTTTGCTTTCTAAAAGGCCTACTCCCCCTGTACTTCTTAAGTTTTTGTAAATTTGTGCCTATTCAGTACAGTACATCTTTTTAATAAAATTAAGCATGAAAGTAAGTGTGGTCTTAAATACTACTTCAGCAGTTACTGAATCTGAGCTTTCCACTGGAACAGATAAAACAAACGGGTCTGGTTTTACTGATGCTTTAAAATGTGAGTCTTTGTGTGCTGAGGTCAAACTCTAGGTAATCTGCTTTTTTTAAAATTTTAGCCTTTTTTTTTTTAAAAACTCAGTATGTTTGAGGCACTGGTTGTGGCTTGAATTTGTTTCATATAAGAAAAAAACCCTCTTTTTCTTGAACATGAAAGAACAGATTACTTTTTTGTCTCAACAGAATTCATGATAGGCAAATGCCTCAGTGATGTAAAAATGAAATGCTTTCTCAAATTCATTTTACATTCATGTAGGTAGTAGAATTGATTGACAAAGAAGATATTGATATTGGCACGAGTCAAGTTGCTGAGATTATGGCACTGCTTCAGAAAGAAGAAAAACTGGAAGAAAAAGAGAAAGCAAAGGAAAAGCATGATAAAGAAGCTGTGGAAGCCAAGAACTAAGCTTCAGAATCTGAAGCTAATCCCATTGTAACCAAAACCTTGTATATCTTTCTGTGTCTAATGGCTACGTATTACTTGAGCTTTGTGATTATGGGAAGTGTTTTGAGCTGATTCTAGTAATAAATCCTAGATATGTTTTCTGACATATGGAATGGAATTTCCATTCATTGAAGAAGTGATATACTGTCATTCCATACGGATGAAAACAAAACATGCTTCTTTAGCAGTGCTCCTGCCCACAAAATCATGTATTTGCACTCATTGTTGTGCTACAGTGATCCATTAAACCTGCAAGTTTGCTGTATAAATTAAGTGTATCATGGAAAAATGTTTATTTTCTTTCATCATTACATGGGGCCCAACCTTGTTCTGCTTCTACCTTTTAGCTTCTTCAGAATTTAATACAAACTTTCCCTCTGTCACAATACTGCATATTTTGTACCCTCTTAGTTAAGATTCAGTGGCTTCAGTAATAGCTCTTTAGATTGAATTTTACTTAAGCTAAATATCATTAAGCTGTTGCCTCACTGGCAGAGATTGTGGCATTCTGATAACTTTTATTAATTAATTACAATTATTTTTTTTCTGTTGAAGGGAAAATCACATTTGTTTTTCCCTAGAATGAAAACTTCCTATGAAGTTTTGCCTCTTATGGTTGCCTTAAATTTCTTAAGACTAGGGAGTCGAGGATGTCACTTCTACTCAAAATTCCATCAATTACTGAAGTGTTGGAATCACAGGAGCCTTTAAAATAGTTTCACAATCTGTCACAGTAAAGTGAATTAAAGTGTTTGTCTAAATAGCAAAATGAAAATAATCATAAGGGGAAAATGTCAGTTGTGATCTTGCATATATTTTTTTAAAACGCAGTTATCTTTGCATGTCTGTTTGTTTTACATGTGCTAATTATTTACACCATAACTAGTTCTCTTACCTCTCAACTCTCATCTCAGGTATGAAGTCACTAACCAGGTATCGTCAAAGTATGTTCATGCTCTCATCTCGCGGCCTTGCTTACTGTGCAGTCAACAAGCCGTGTCTGGTATTGCCAGCCCTTTCATCAGTTACTGTAACTGTGTGATGAAATACTGACAGTAAGTCAAGGTTTAGTTATTAAGGTCTATCCTTGGTAGTAAACTTTGAAGTTTTACAAACTAAAATACCAGTGCTGGGATGTTCCATACCTCCTGGTAGCCTAAATTTTCCACTCTTTCTTAAAATCCGTTATGTAATACACTTAGTGTGACTTTTACCAGCAGGGTTGTGGATTATGTTTATTTTGTTTTGCACCCAGTATTATAAAATACATGAACATTCTTGATTTTGTGTACACTGTAGAGAGCACATCTTATAATGGCACTGTGCACAGTGATATTGAGGTGGGCAGTTAGTACTTAATGCTTGTAGCCATTGTTGCATATTTTCATAGAAAATGTTGACGCCCAAGCGTATTTCAGCATAATTCCATGTTCAGTATTTATCTAGATTGGCTAAATTATTTGTAAAAACTCATTTGAAGTTAGTGGAACAAGGAAAGTTTTGACAGTCTCACGGCTTGCGTGATGGACCACTGTATTTAGTTGTTTCCAAAGCAAGATGTACAATTAATTCTGGAAAGGGGTCAGTGTTTCATTCAGGTATCGAGTTCTTATTCTGTACAGTTTGCAAAGAAAGCTGCTCACAGTAAGAACCTCCTGAGAATTACTGTGATTGTATCCTAAGTGTAAAATTGCTGTGACAAAGCTGAAATTTCCAATCCGTAGGATCTTTCCCCCTTGTTTAGGGGTACAGCCCCTTGTTTAGGGGTACATTCTGTTCCTCATAAATTGAGATCAACGTGGAGTTTTTAGCATGGAAGTCAGTTTGTAGGTTTTGAAGATAGAACTTCACTAGGTGCTTTTTTTAGACCAAAACTTGTCTTTAGATGTAAATGCAAAAGTAAAACTAACTTCACAAAAATACAGTTTAAAAACTAATTTTACATTGTTTAACTTAAAATTAGAATTAATTGGATTTGAAGTATGCTAAACTTTGCAATCGTATCTCTTCAGTTTGAAAACAACCTGTAACAATCTCACTTGACATTCCTGAAAAGACGCTCTAAAATTGTCTTGCCACCTTTCACGGAATATCAAAAACCTAAGCATTGTATGCACTGGAATGCATGGAAGTTGAAAACAGGGAAGTAGCAGAAAAAGCTATTTTCAAAGAGTCATTGATCATAATTTTATAGATCTTTAATTGTCCTTACAGGAGATTTTCTGATTGTAGTATTTGGGAGTTTAAGACACTTTTTTTTGTTTACTGTTCACTTAAATTTTCTGTGGATTAAATAAGAGATCCAAAAATAGCTGATTATTTTTTTTTTAATGAAGAATGTCACAATTACAGTAACTATGGTACATTTATTGGACAATTTTAGCTTTTGGACTTTTTTGAAATTTGGCATACTATGAATTTTTAATAGGTTCCATAAAATACATTTAAACGTCAATCACAAATGTCAGTTTTCCCCTGTAACCTAAAGCGTTGGGAGGATGTCCACGTCAGCCATAGCGTAGCACTTTCACGGGAAATATCTTCCTTCTGATGTTTAGGGTAGGCAAACCTGTGCCAGCTGGAATTTGAACAACACGTATTCTGCAAGCGTAAACAGATTAGGGAGCCCTTGGTGACTCAGGGTTGAACCTTCCCGAGCAGCCCTGCCCCGGCGATGCAGCGATGCCCGCAAGCCGGTGGCGTGAGGACTCGCTTCGGATAACGTGCATCGTCGTCTGTCGTGCTGACCAAATAAAACGGGAGCTGCAGCGCTTTCAGAGAAAGGATGACTTCGAGTGTACAGTAACTGGTCAGAACTTATTCCTGAATGAATATTTAATCGGGAGATGTAAATATTTGTTTAAATAATTGAAGATTGTGTGAGATTTTGGTGACTTTGTGACTTACACAGGCAAAGCCTCTAAGCTCAGAGTTAGGTAATCGGGAAGACCATTGTTGGGGTTGTTTCACATTCACATCAGATCAGATTTTGATTATAAACTCTTCGGGGGGGGGGAAATGTAAAACACACAAAAAGCTTTTTAAAAAAAATCCACTTAGCAACAGGGGAGGGAAGTAGGATGTCATTTCTTTTTTACCCTTCAAAACAAGGGGGTGTTATGACCTGTTTGACTGGAAAACTTTGTTTCCACTTCGTGTTAGCTCAAAAGATGGTTTTTGCTGATATTGTCGTCGCTGACTGCGTGCTGTGAGTGTAAATCTGCCTGCAAGTTAAGTACCAGAAAGCTGGTTTAGTAGGTAGTTTGCCAGCAGGACTGCGTGCAGGTAGCGAATACTCTCTTGATAGGGCAGTACCTTACACGTACGTAGGCTTTGTCTGGGTGAAGATATTACACCTTTTATACAACTCCAAAATACTTCTTGTAACTTTGTATCTAATAAATACCTTGCTAATAATTTAAACGTTAGCTACTTCAGCATGTATTTAAATACTTTTAAATTGTTCATATCAAATTATTGGGTATATTTAATTAAAAGAATAATCCCATATTCTGTTCTTTGAATGTATTCCATATTTCACTTTTCCATTGAAGAATTTCAGCCCGTGTTATGAATTTAAGTTGAAAATCGTTTTGTCTGTGCTCTGAGCATACCAGTCCTGTGTTTGGTATAATGCAGCATAAAACTTTTAAGTTAATAGGAGCTCGTGTCCTTTGTTTAGTTACAATAAATGTATCATTTTGAAACCTAATCTCTCCGTCATTTTTCTGTTGCTTTTGATCATTTAGTGTTAATGTTTTGCTGGTCAGATGAGACGCCGGTCACAGACAGTGACAGTGACGAGCTGAGTGTTAGCACTGGAATGTTTGGGGTAGAAGAGGGCAAATGAAGGACAGTCTTCATTGGTGGCTTGTGTGGGATTGGGGGGGGTGTTTAATTCTTGCAGGAAGTCTCTTGACGAATGTGGGACTGCTTGCCTGGTGTAGTGGACTGTGCTAAACCACTTTCCAACTACTGTGTTTTAGGTGTCGAAGGGAGGAGCAGCGTGCTCTTTACTGCAAGGAACTAATGGAAAGGTTCAGATCTATTCCAGGCAGAACTAAGTCTCCTTAGGAAGGGCCCACGTTTGGTCTTTGTTCAGCTTAGGGAAGAAAACACATCTGGAATGGTTCCAGAGATTGATTCTTTCAGGCCATGCAGTGCCCCTCACCCCTGATTTTGCAAAATGACTTGGATTCCTCTGTCATACTCTTCACAAAGCTCATCTCTCTGTAAAGTACACTTTAAACACTTGGGCATATCCAGCAATTGGCTTTTTCCATGGAAAGCTGTTAATGGCTCATTAAGCCATCATCACCTCTCATCCTGAAGCCTTGGCAGCCTGGGTGGGAAGGTGGAGAGAGCCCGAGCCACCAAGCTGTCCCCTGCACGTCTGGTCCCTTGGAAATAACGGAGCTACCTCGAAGGTGGCTTCTGCTGCTGTTTGGAAGCCCCAGCAGGCGCCTTGGCCCAGCTGCGGCGGATGCTTGCAGAAAAGCATGGCAGAGGTGGGCCAGACCCTGAAGACTCGAAGGCCTCGTTGCGCAGGCCTGCGGTGACGAAAGCGGGTGGTCTCCAAAATCGGGATTTGGGAGCGTCCAAATGTTGAATCTACTTTCTAGATGTTGATGTATTTCAACAAATGTCTGAAAAACTCCTGCCCTGTGATGTGTTTAAAGTAACCGCATGGATAAGCTAGCTTGGCTTGCAGCTTCTTCCTTTTTTTGCTTAAAGCCAAATATCAAACAAGTGGCTAAAACAAGTGGCAGAACTTGTTCCTTTTAAGTTTTAGCTTTAAGAATTTCCTTTCATGACAGACTTCTTTAGGGTGAATAGGTCTGTTGTGCAGGGATGTGGTAAAACAGACCAGCAGAGAAATTGTGGCTTTGAGCTTGTAAATTAAATGTGGACTTTGGCAAGTGCCAAGGTTACCCCTTACCCGTGTCCTGAATGTCCAAGAGAGAGACTCCTGGACCCAGTGGGGTCTTTGCTGAGATACACTGGTTACATCAAAGAAATTACACCCTTTTCTGTCTTTATTATGCATTTATAACAATTATGTCTAGTTCTTGTTCCAATCTAAAGAAAAAATGGGGGGGTGGGT